TCATTCTCCTACTGTCTCTTGACATTTCTTATCGCTTCTTCCCTAAATCTTGCTCAGAATCAAAAGTGCATCTATTTCTCAAAATACCAGTGAAGCAGTCTCTTGCTCAACTATCAATTCATAGAAGAATACTGGGAGGTGGAAAGACAGCAGTAGGGCTGAAGAGCAGACAAGAAACAGCAAAGCTTGCTTTAAATAAAAAATAAATAAAAGCTGCAGAGCTCAGGTCACCACACATTACTGGCCTGCCATCACAAACTTTCTTCTCTTCCCATGTTAGACACCCACCTGGTTTCAAAGCTCTTCTCCTCTCTCTGCTCCTTCATTTGCTATCAGAGATTATGATAACAACATCTTTTCCCTCATTACCCGTTATGCCTGGGGAAAATTCTAAATCGTGATGAAAAAGGATATTTCTAAACTCTCCCCTAGCATATTCCAAACCGACAAATGCCTTCCCGACCCTAAGATTACATTCAGAAAACAGCTAAACCAGGTTTTAAAATATTCTTACGATCTCTAACCAAAAATCAATGTATTACTGTATTTCTTCCTTCATTTTTCCTATAGTCTGCAAACACTTTATGATAGCTAGAACTGCCATCTCTTCTGTATCCTGTAAAATCCAGACACTTCATAGATTACAGATACTGGTGTACACCACCCAGTCTCAAAAGCAGAAAAGGGAAGTTATACCTTGAAGCTGCATTTTGAAAGTGTTTTCTGAGCACCCTAAAATTCCATGTGAGCGCTTACTCCTGTAATTCTATTTGAACAAGAACTTCAGTATTTGGCTTATTCACCAAAAGGTAAATTTCTGGTGCCTATTTCAGAAGAGTAATCATCTTACCTTTACTGTTTCACTTAAGACTTCGTTTTTATCAGCTTCTTCACTGGAGTGCAATTCCAGCTTATTATTTAACTCCTGGAGCTGCTGCGCCTGTTCATTCAAAAGCACTTGTGCCTGATGCTCCCAACGTAATGCACTATTCAGTTCTTCACATGCACTTTCAAACCTCTCATGGGTGATCAATTTCTGATAAGGGAAATAAATCGCGTTTGATTGTGTAACTGCATTCACTTGTTTACGTGCTTGACTTTCAGAGTTCCATTTGCAAACATATCAAATTCTTAAACAAAAGCATGCTAAAGGCCAAAATTTAGAGGTTTTAACATGAAGATAGATCACCAAATAATAAAATAGCAGACAACTTTATCGATTGTATTTTTTAAAAAAAAAGCATTCACGGTACTGTAAACAGTAGCTATTCATTATTCTATTCAAATTAGCACCCCTGGTTGTAAAGAATCCATATTTAAAAGGAAATAGGCAGACCAATGTCCTACTTTCAGTGCATATCTTATTAACCCTTGTAAACGTCTTCCAGGACTCTTTCTCCCCTCTTCAAAATGCTCCAGAAAGAAAAAATAATTCTTTAAGGAAAATCATGATCTACATTTGAAAAACAATCTGAAATGTGACAATTTCATCTAACTGTCCCAGAACTGTAAGGGAATACAACCCATTAAGAACAAAACTCAGTATGATTAGATACAACTTTGTCCATTTGAGTAAAAAAATCCATTTTACCAGCTAGGAACAGGAAGGAGAATAGAGGTGAAATCATCTATTAAATATTCTCTGTTTGGAAGTGTTTTGATTGGGACACACTGACAGGTTCACCAACTAGGACTCAAGATCAACATTGGGCACAGCTTCAGAAAACTCTGCTCATTCTGGGACACAGCTATTTGGGTGACACTGTGCACCTGTAAAGCACGTATAAGAATCTTTATCCATTCACTTTCTCAAACAGCTCAAACGTGAGCTCAATGCTGAACGCAATCTATAGAAAATACGCGTTAAGAGGAAAGGTGCCCTGTGAACCTCCAGCATGCTAAAGCAAGACAAGCTTCTTCCCCTCCATACGGATGGAAGGCACAGTTCCACGAGTATGGCAGGGAACAAACTGACAACCCACAAAATGGCATCAATCCCTCAAAAACCATGTCCATTACTCACTATACTGTGGCTTCAAGTGGTTAATGAACCTTTTCGTTGTCTCTTCTCAGTCCTGGTAGACGGTGCTATTTACATGTTAGTGAAGCCATAGTGTTTAAGTAAATCAATCGGCAACAGCAAAGGGCCAAAGGAATTCAGTGCATAGGCACTACTGAGAATATAAAAGAGGGCTTTTTTTTTCCTTGCCATAAACTTATTCCTTCAAGGAAACAGCCACAATAAAACTTGCAGTGACCAGCTCAGGATATAACCCATTCTCAAAGATACAGTAAAATGTCTATCATATATATTCAGCAATATCCAATGCAGAGTTCAAATACTTCATTTATACTTCATGAACTTCTCATGAACACACTTATTGGATACTCTTGTTTCCAGCTGACTTTACTCTGTTGAAGTGAAATCTATAAGTCGTTTTCAGATATACAAATCACACCAACGTTTTCAACATATGGAAGAAAACCTGGGCTGCTGAAGACTAAACATGTGATTTACACAGAATACCTCATTCTACAAATCAAAGAGAAACTCTTGTGGAAAGCAGATACTTCTAAATACACCTGACTTACAGTTTAGTGACATTTACAAGGCAAGTTTTCTCTGAAATTCTGTTAAGACTGATTTTATACTTGTTTTTCAAAAGAACATGAATCAAAAAATGTGTAAAAAAGAGGATCTCTTGTAAGCAGGCTCCTCTAAATCAAGTATACTTACAGACTGCTTTAATGCATTTAATTGCTCTTGCAAGCTCTGGGCTTTGTCAGCTTCTTTTTTCATCTCACTGAAATTCCATTTCAATTCTGCAAGTTTTAGGCGCAATGAGCGGCGTTCCACCTCTGCTGTATGAAGTCTTTGTGTAAATTCAAATACTTGCTTCTGCAAGGATGCTACACTTTTCTGGTAGTAAACACAAACAAATTCATGTGCTACAAAATCTGCTATTTTAGCTATAAAATCAATCACATGTCATATACAAGCAAATTTTAAAAAAAGCTGTTATTTCATCCTCCATCTCTTAAAGACACACACAAGTGCAAAAATGTGAACCTGTTTCACCTACTGTTGAGAGTTAATGAAAATTCTACTTTCAAGGAAGTACCTGTTTGCACGTAAGGGCCACAACAGAAGACAGATTATGTGAGAATGAGTTTATCCTTTCATTTCAGTTAAAGGGAAGAAGGTTATCTTTTCTGAAAAATAGAGCAGTAAGCAGAAGAAAGAACAAAAAAAAAGAGAGAGGAAAAAAAAAAGAACCTTAACATTTAGTTAAAGCCAAAAGCAAGTTTGTTCTTCTGAAGTAAATACAATTTTGATAGAACTTTAAAAAAAAAACACACACCTTTTTCCTAGGTGCATCAAATCTCTTTTTTAAATTCTTTGACAATAATAGAAAAGATCTATTCAAGTCCTAATGCTTTTGGGTGTTGCAAATCAACTCCTGATTCTCTATATAGCTGACTTCAAGGTAACCGACTCATAAACAATCTGAAACAGAATTAACAGTACTTTCAAGAGAGCCGCACTGTAACACTTACGCTGTGAACCCACTGTTTATGTGGAGTAGCACTACAAGCATACATACCATAATGGGTAGTCTGTCACAAAAACCAGCTTCCAGGGCCTGGGTATTTATTTTATTAAGTCCCTGAGCCAGCCTCTGTACCAAGGAGTCTTTCTCTGGGTAAGTAATGCTCCTGCTGCTGTTCAGTGGAACAGTCTCCATTATTACATTCAGCTTGTCCATAAGTTTTGAAAAGGAGCTCCTGGCTGCACTTACAAGTAAATGTCCAGAAAGCCAGGGCTTTGGATCTTTAGGAAACAACAACAAAGAAACATCAAGTAGGTTATTAGTTTCATTTTTTTTCACTTGAAAAAAGCAACAACAGCAAATAGCATCTTTAAAACACTCAGTAGGAAATTTCCATTAAAGAGCGCAAGATTGAGCTTACAGGAGTATCTCAGAGAGACTTTGGGACAAATTCTGTACTAAACAATGAACACTCTAATCCTATCAATCTCTGGATGGAAGAGTAGGATAGGATTCTAAATAACAGAATTTGTTTGTCAAAGAACAATTTTCTAGTTGTTTTTATGTTCTCCTCCAATACTACACTTTCTTGAGTCTTTCTTGGGTGTTCCAATTTTGTAATTCAGAAGACATGGAAGATGGATGCAAGCAAATGCAAGCCAGGTCGAGTATGTCAGATGTGATAGCACATGGTAAAACACTTTATCGTAATATTTAGAATGCAAATTTCTGAGGGTTTCCTGACTCCTCTTCCCTCCCCTCTATAGATGTCTAAATCATTTGCTGTTCAAAATTAGCGAGGCTTGGTACCTTAATGCCATACTATTTATATTCTGAGACAAGAGAATATAATTTACCTTATTCCAAGGCAATTAAAATTTTACAGCTACAATTACTTATTTCCCCACAGGATTTTGGTAATCATCCTTCTCATATAATGGACTTAAGGCCCCAGCACACCCAACATGTCCTGCTTACTGCTAGATTCGTCAGGTCTGTAATTAATAATTGTGTTTAATGTTGATAAATAAAATTGTCAGTGCTCCTTCCACTAATTGGTATTCCAGATAACAGTTAATAGGTTTATTTATGCCTTAATAAAAGTCTTGTAATTTAGTTTTCCCTCTGCTAGGCAGGTCTTAATCTGTCATTACTTGTCTTATGATACTATCAGTGTAAGATGACAAGCATGGAAGAGCTTATTTACATTCAGTAGTACAGCAGATCTCCTGTTGCTGCAGTGAATTAAAATATTTACTTAAGAGTATAAACAGAAAAAATAACCACAGCTTTTTTTAAGTTAAAGAATTTCTTTTTATACATCATGAGGATAAAGCGAAAGGTTCAAAGCACACAAAACATGATTATTGATATTTTAAGATCACGATTCTCTTCATAAAGAATTTATCATGTACACACGAGATGAAATTTATCTGTAAGCAAACAAAAACAACAAAATCACATAAAAGCAAATATTCTTTTCTCAGTCATTCTCCTGATTCTTTTCAAAATACCACCATTCCAATGATTCCAGTGATTAACTGAAGGACCATTTTTGAGTACATGCTCTCCATAAAACCAGCTAGTAGTAAATCTGTCTTTTCTTTGTGACTCAGATAGCACTCTTTCTCTTCCTCTTTAAAGCTAAAAATCTTATCCAGCATTTTTACCTTGCACTTCAACTAACAAAACATCCTTTGAAATAATAATAATAAAAAAATATTATTCTTCTCATATCCAGAAGAAACTGCTATTGTAATGCTATTGTCTACTTTGGCCAAGACTCCTGCCTTGTCCTTATGTTGGTCCTCTACTACTGATTACATAAAAGATAAGCTACCTTCATAATTTTAACTCTTATCACAGATTATCCTTTCCAATCTGTCTTTCAGTTTCAAAGACCATCTCTCTTCTTGAGTCATGATGCATTCATCAGTTTGAAAGCTTAAATTAACCTAAAATTAAAACTAGAACATTTGTACCACCTTCCATGTAAGATGACACCAAAACCTTCTAAAAAACCCTCCTTTGCTGTGATTTTTGATAAATATCAAAACAAGGCTACTGTCAATGAGCTACAGTTCCTTCACCTTTTCTAGTATTTCCACCTGGTATCTCATTTTACACGAGATTGTTTGCCTGCCAGGAAACACAGTATTTCTCCATATGTGCATATCTAGGATAGCAGCCCCTTTCCCTAATAATACAGCTTAACTGTATTAAAAATAAATTAATAATAATAGTTCAGACAATTGCGTTGTAGCATTTTGAAACAATCATTCCATTTATTCCATTCCACTGTTATTCAGTACACTTCAGCATCCACAATTTAAGGCACTTTCTTGGGATGGGGAATGAGAAAAGCAAATCACCACCTCTGTTTATATTTTTTATAAAGAGCAGTTTGGAGTAAATACACAGAAGTATGTTCATGCAAGTTACTGACTGCTTTGAAAGATGAAACGAAAATATAATGCAATTCCACAAGGAACTGTATTTATAATCACTGGGAAAAGAATATACGGTTTAAGTACATACATTTTAAGTACCTGCCCATAAAGGATCAAGGAATTACAATTAAAAGCATTAAATGATGTGCATTGTGATGTGTATTAGAAATTATTAACATAGAGGTATATCACAAAAATAAATTAATTTTTACATTAAACAAATTAAGAAAAAGGCAATGAAAAGTGACAAATCATACTTCACTGACAGATAAGAAAGAATCCATGTTTATTTTGGTGAAACAGAACAGTCAGCAGGATGAACTTAGCAGTACTACACAAGACTAAAATTTTCATGCTAAGCTTCAAAGGCTGTGTGTATGTAACAGTTGATTATATTTGCATTCAAAAAGCTTGACCTTTACTGTGTCTGGTTTATCCCAGTACAGATTCTGTTCAAACAAACCTACAAAACTAACCTTACAAAAAAACCCAAATCAAATCAAAACAAAAAACCCCACACTTTAATGAACTGTCATCAGATTGAAGCTAAGAGATCACTCCAAGACATACTGGAATAAGAACTGAACTAATGAACAGTGTGAAGGGAAATGATTGTGAATGTCAAACAAAAGCCACCTTTCTAAAAGTTGAAAGCTCAAGAAATGTGCGTCAAATCAACATCTTGCACAAGCCCAAGATTTCCTGTGTTAGATCTGAGTGATCTGGCTTCTTTCAGTTGCTTCAAATGGATCCTCAGAACCTAGCCATCTTTAAAAGCAATTTTTAAGACACCAAACCATTCCATATCGTAGATCCACACAGCACCTTCTTGTGCCTACTCTCTCCTGTGACGCACAGTCTAATCTGGTACTGACATTATTTCAAGATTTGAAGAGGGCAGATGTCTCCCAGATTGCCTATGTACATTAAAAAAAATTCAAAATCATTTAAGTCAGTTTAACAGTTTAAATCCTATTTGAAATATGACTTGCAGAACATAAAAAAAATTTCCTAAGTATGCAAGCTTCCTTTCAAATATATTCATTCAGAACGTTACCACTTTGATACTTCTGGAAATTTCATGTCCAGCTTTAAATTATTTATTATTATTTTTTGAACCAAAGGTTCTTGGGATACTTTTGATCTCATGAGAAACAGAATTCTAAGTAATACATCAGTGAGATCTTGAGATTCTGTGAAAATGACTTAAAAATAGAGATAAGCTATGAAAGAATCACCAAACTGACTGTGACCACAACATTCTTAGTATGGCTTTTCCTAATTCTCAAAATCGAAAGTGTGTTCAGTGTAGAGATATCAAGTAAATAGAGTCAACCAGAATTCTCATACACTTCAATACTAGCAAAATATCATAAGGTTTAGGGTATTCTAACTAGTCACTTCAGCACCTCGATGCTGCTGTAAATTTTCTCTTGATTCCTTTTCAATTTGCTGTTCTTGCTCAACACTCTATACACTGAAACACTTGCAGTATAAACCCTGAAAATATTTTGAAAGACAGTTTTGTAGGGATGCAAATTTAAGTTACTGAAAACAGAATGATCAAAGGAAAGAGCACCTGAAACTGAATCAAAACACTTTGGATTCAATGGCTGACTTCTGGTACCAGTTTATTGTTCAGGATTCCAAGAAACGTACCACCTTCTCCCTGTCCTGCTATTTCTCTTTATTCATATAAATTATCTTTAATATCCTTTATTCTGTGACAGAATTGTTGGCACTTTGAAACTACCAGGTACCAAAGAACTGAGGACAACAGAAATGCAGAGGAACCAAGTGAGATTGCTATACATTGTGTCAATGAGATCATTTTACTTCTCTCTCAAAAGCCACGAGATAGCAAGTAAACCAGATGCAAATAGCATCCATCAAATTCAGTAGTTTTTCAGATGCCAGCAATTTGGAAATTCTAGATCCACATCATATAAAACACAGTATGAAATTATTTCCTTTCAGTCAGCAATGGTAATATCCCAGGTTGAATATGTGTCAGTTTTAGGGCCTGCATTTAAGAAATACACAGATCAAATAGACAGAAATGACATAGATCTTCTCTGTGGAAAAAAATTAGGTTGAGCTTTGGTAAAGTAATTTTCAAATATTAGAACAGTGGAACAAGACAACTAGGAAGCTTGTAAATATAACTTCATTGGAAGCTTTGAAGAACAGGTTAGCCAAATATCCGTTAGCGTGGTGTACACGTTTTTTTCCTATCTCACAACAAAGCAGGCAGAGCTGTTTGTATGCTTTCTAGAAGCACTCTCCAGCCTTCTGTTTCCATGACTATGTACCGAAATGATAAAGTAGATCACCAATTAAAGAAAATTAATCTGCTCCAACAATACGGCTCTCCAGAGATTTCATGCAGAATAGTACAGATAAACTCCTGAAAATGGAAATGATGTAACCACTTTGATTTTTTTTTTTAATCTTCTTCTACAAGAATATACTTTTAAAATTACCTGTTTTGTTAACAACATCCTGTAATTCAGTGACAGAACTGATTATTGCAGCAAGGAGGTTAGAACTAGTAAACCAGCTGAGTGCTTCAACACAGTGAATTTGTTCCTCTTCACGACCTGTGAAAGAGAATTGTAGCTAGCAATAGAACTGAATAGCTTACAAAAGGCACTCTAATATCTCCAGCTCTTTCAGAAATTGACCAAAACTAAGTATATAAGCCACAAATTAATTCTTCTTTCAGGACAATTTAGACTGTATTAAAAATGATTCCAGAACTACTGAAACAGAAAAGTAGATAGATCTTCTAGTTCGGGAAACATTTTTGATACCATTTAAACTTGCAGTGAGAAGCATGAGCTGGTCTGGTAAGAGAAAGGGACTGGAAGACTACCTAATTTCTAAAGAAAAATTTAGAAATCCTATACTAATATTTTACCTGAATCAGAAAGACACTTCTTGCATTTTTAGTAGGAAATAAATATTAAAAGTAATTGACAAAAGAAGACAAAATCTATTTTCAAAAAATATGTTGATGGTCAATCATTTAGGAACATTACACGATATTTACCACAGAGAAGAGGTGGTAGCACCCTAGTTCTGAAATCCGTAACACAAATGTCAAGGATATCAAGGATATCAAACAGTATGAGTTCACATGTGGAGTTGTAACTTTTCTTTCAATGCTTAACAGATTAAGCATTTCCTTTTAGGGGAAATTACATTTATCAAGAAATCCAGAAATCACAAATGCAGAAATTACATTTGTCAACATGTCACTAAATTTGTCTTTATACTCTATTAACATTATTATTTGTTACTAACCATGTAATTTGACACAACATTTATCAAAGAAGAAAATTAGCTTACTTGACAGATTACGCTTGCCTTTGGAGTCTCCTATACAAACTAGAATTCCAACGCCGCCTTTGAAGCCATTTACCCAGGAGAAGAGAGAACTAGAAGACTGGGCTAAAACTTTAAGTCTGTTAGCTGCCAAAACTGCAATCACACCTCTTCGGAACACGCGAGTCAGGCCTTTGAATTTTCTTTTCACTTCATCTTGATTGTTATCCTCTACATCAGAGAGAGCATGAACTAGGGTCCTAATCTCCTGGTTCACTAATTCATAAATGTTGACCTGATCTTGGAGAAGGTCTCTTTGGGAAGACATAGCACACCATCGGCCATAGAGAGGATAAAGGGCCCCTGCCAATAGTGCACAGGCTGCCAGGAGAGATGAATGCTCCTTCTGAACCTGTGTTAACATATTTTTCACAGAAACATTTTCAAGGGCCAATTTCTCACGTCTTTTTTCAAGGACATTAATTTTTTCCGTATTTTTCTCTGCTGTTTCCAGGTATTCCTGGGATAAGGGGGAAAAAAAAAAACAAATACAGAAGAAATATTAACTAGAAGATAATTTTTAAAATTACAAAAATCATTTTTACCTAGACAAAAGCTAAAAGAAAACGACTATTTTTTTTCAGATTCAAATAACACCTTAAAGGAACAAAAATTATTAGTAATGACTGTCAAAGTATCTCTTCTAGCAAACAGTTACAAAACCAGATATGTGAAAACAAATAAATAGTATGAGGAAAATTTGCATAATCTTCAACTACAAATGAACTCCAGATTTCTGATGATAATCCACTGGTACTGCAATAGACCATAGAAGGTCCAACAGTACCTGGCTGTCCACAATACAGTTTTATGGGTTGGCTTAACAATAAGCAATTACATGCTCCAATTTCAGAAAGAATATTGCTCTTCAAAGCAGAAAGGAAAGTTAGTGTAAGAGAGGAAAAAAAAGAAGGAAAACTCTGGAAGATAAACCTAAACAGATTGGCAGCAGCTGGGAAAGGGGAAGTAAAGGTGATCTCTTAATTACTTTGTAATCAACCCCCTACTTATATATTCACAGATTAATTAGGTCTCATACAGAACTGACTTTTCAAAAGAACAGTGTAATACAGATATTACTATTTTGACTAGTGCCATTACAGGTATTTTGAACTTGCAGAATATTTTTTTCTTTTCCTGTACACTCCCTGAAAAAGGGAAA